GTAGGCGGACGCGTCCCACCTCCAGACAAGTTGACACCTCCCAGAATCCAGCTGGCAGCGGCTCTGCTGCCTTCAGCGCGGTAGCTGCATCTCAGGCAGGAGAAGGAAGTGAAGTAGGAAGAAGTGCACGTGCCGTCTTCCTTGAGCTGGACCTGGAATGGCCGGCGGGTTCGTGGTCCATGTCTAGAGCTCAGCCACATGGCCAAGCAGGACTGAGAAGGTGGCTGCCAATGGATCCCAGCTGAGCGCCCAGGAGGCTGGCTGCAGGCTGTGGGGCTGGCTTCCCTGGTAAGGACTGTGACTCTGGAGCAATCAGTCACTTCTGGCTGGCTCCCTTCTGTCAGTCAGCTCAGGTAGGGACCAAGTCGGGTCAAAAGGGAGCCTCTGCCATGTCCCTGCGAGTGGGGGGATGGCCGGTCTCCAGCATCGTGCAAGTGGAGACCCTGTTGGCGGCCAGGCCTTTCTGCGTCCATGAGGGCGCGACTTCTGGGTGCGTTTTGGCGCCTCCTTGGGTTTCACTCAGGCCCCTGTCAGTGGCACTGATTCATCCCGGGTTTGAAGGAACGTGGGTCTGTGCACAGAGACTGAAAACTGCCTGAAAATGGTAGTTTTAAAAAAAAAATAGACAGGTTTGGAGTCCTGGGGAAAACATAAAGAATGTCCTTCACAAATATAAGGTGAAGCTTCTGAGGGAAAAGAAGGTTTAATGACAATGACCTTAGCGTAATAGCTGCATTACAGTGGAACAAACGGTGCTCCACATCTGGAGGAAGAACCATGCAGAAAGTTCCCCAGATGAACCTACACCAACGTGGGGTAGCAGAAAGCAGGGGTCATGGGACCTGCTGATGTCTCCCAGGTCTTTTCCAGAGAGGCCTGGGCAGTTACACCCACCTGGTCCCTGACACCCCGACAGCGAGGGAGCACACTCCTGCTCTCTGGCCTAACACAGAGGAACTCTGCATGCTCTCAAGGTCCCTGTGGGCTGCGCTGTGCCAGACCCATCAGAAGGGACATCTATGGAGAGTCCCTTGAGAGTTTCTCACTGCTCTTCTGGGGACACGTCCTCAGTAAACCCCGTGTAAGAACCCCGTGTCAGGCTCCACAGCCAGGGGCCTACCCCAGGAGAGCCTGGTGTGAGCACCACACCACAGAGCCACACAGCTAGACATCTCCCCCTGCAGCCCACCGGCAAGCCACCCCGGGGTCCTCGAGTCAGGTGATCGGAGCTCCACAGGCAGCTTCGGCCCACCTTCCATGCAACCCAAATGTGGGAGCTGCATATTGGTGACCTAAATGCAGTGGGGCAGCACATGGGCAGGGCAAGTAGCTGGTGGTTAAGGGCAAAGCTGAAGGCTGAGTCTGTGCTCTGGAAGCTGTAGGCAGGACATTAGCTTAGGCAGACTAATTAGGGTGAGATGGGTGAAGTGCTGCTCAAAAGATAAGACAGACTGCTGCCAGCCACTGCCCTGGGGACTGTGGAGGAGGAGACGCCAGCTCACACTGCATGTGAGGTGCAACGGCCTCCACCTGACCTGGAGATCCCGGAACCGGCAAACAGAAGAAAGACTGAGGCGCCATCATTGGAGGCAAAGGCTGTGGCTCTAGGGAAGGCAGCAGTCAAGAGTGAAATCCACCTCACTTAGAGTCAACTGCCTCATGAGGCTGGGGGCAGTGGGTGCACGCAAGGACAGAGAGGGCAACTGGAAAACTCCTCTTGAGGCTTCTGAAATTAAGAATTTTCTATCCACAGAGAGGATGGAGTAAGGAATTTCCACCTCGACCACTCAGGGTGCTTCTCTGATTGGGATCCTGGAGCTGGAGGTGGGCTCTTCTCTCCTTGCTTTTCCACAGGAACACTGTTGGAGTCAGTTCCAAGATGGCGGCAGGGCCTAGAGTTAGAGCGAGACTCAGCCTGAGGAGCCAGGGAATCGTTGCAGACGAGAGCAGATACGGAGCCAAGAGATATCCACAAGGTGGACTAACTTATGCTCTGTTCATATTTACTTTTATAATCTGATAAAATAGGAAGGATTTTGGTTTATATTTATTTTGTGAAAGTGATAGGTCATAAAAGGAAACCAGGTATACAATCTGAGATTAAGTGGTGTGCACATTTGGGATACTCATGAATTTATTCTTATCTTTTTTGGGGCAGGAACTTGGTCTATTTAGAAATAATATCAAGAAGAGCTAAAGAAATATTTTACATTTTGGAAGAAAAACATTATTTTCACTTTTGTTGTATATGTAGAAAAGTTAGTCCACATTTAGCTTTAGGAGGCAGAGAAATTCTGTGTAGAAAGAAATTTACCTAAAAGCCTTAGTGAACATTATTTATTTTTTTCAAATTCTGTGGTGCATGCACACACTTTTAAGTCAAATTCAGATGTCTAAGTGCATCCTATGAACATCTTGCTTTGCTGCTGTGCACACAGCACCACTCTTCCCTCCTCTTTGTTTCCTGGCCATTTCAGTTCTGAGAAGCTGCCTGTCCACACCTGTTCAAACAGACCCTTGGGCTTCTGGACTTCTGCACCTCCACAAAGGTTTGCAATTGTCAAATCCGTCCTCCGCATTCAGCTGCAAACTCCTTGAGGCATGGAATGAATCTGCTCATCGTTCATCCTTTAAATTTGTCCTGAAGTCTGGGGCAAAACCCATGAAAACATGCTCTTTGAGTGAGTGAATGAAAGGATGAGTGAGCAGAGCGGAGAGAGGCAGCTGAGCGGCATGGGGCAGGCACAGCCAGGGGAGAGGTAGGCACAGCAAGCGCCGCTTTCCAATGCAGAAAATCCGTCCCACGGGTTTATAAAAGGGACGCTCTGTCTTCACGCACGCGTACATCCCTGCTTCACATGGGATTTTCTCCATAGTTGCATCTTTCTCTTCATAGGGGCTGCATCCTCTCTAGAAAACTGATGCCACACACAAGTGGTTTGTCAAATGTTTGGACATAATGAGGGCCATTTTTTTGCATCAAAATGAGCTAAATGAGGAATAGAGAATATCCAGATAAAAAATACAGGAGGGAAAGTTTTGTCTTTGATTGAGGAGAGACCAGGAGGACAGATGAAAACTGGTCATGGAGAAAAGGACAGATGAGGAGCAAAGGGCACGGGAGGGAAGGCACCAGGAGCTATGCCCAGTGCTGGGGACGGCCGAAAGGACTGGAACGGCTCCCACTGCAGG